AAAGAGTCATAAGCTGGTATTTTACTAATACAATTATTCTGCAGTTGTATTTGAATCATGATAATTTGAGGAGAAAAGAAAATTAAGTGGAGCTCATTCAGAATGTTTTTCATACCCTCCCTTTTTTTCTAAGGGTTCGATAAGAATTTAACTTGTGTGTCCGGTTGATGTGAACGTAACGTTAGCAACATTAGCTGTTAGCCATGGTCGGATAACCACTTTTTTCTGGTCTCTGACACAATAAGCAAAGAGTTACACAAAAACTATAAAAAAAAAACAAACAAAAAAAACTCTGTATTGACGCTTAATCATTTGGCAACTGCAGATGACCTACTTTGTTGTATAATTATCTACTAATGAATGTGGAAGGACAGACTGAAGTATTTGATCATTAAACATGACAGGAAGCACCGCCGGCCAGCAGCTCAGGGACCTTACCTAACCTTATCAATTCAAATAAGAAAGCATTTTTGAATAGATTTTAATATAACAGCAACAGCCCACATTGCACTACCATCACTTTATTTAATTGCTCCAAAAAAGCTACCCACAGCTAAAGTCCATTTCTCTACTGGCTCATCTAAGCATTACTGCTCCAAATTTGACTAATGAAGAGATATGATGGACTTCAGGTTATTAATTCAAATCCAGCAGTGGCTTTGTGTTTCAGCCCGATGGAAGCTGCGGCACACAGACTCTTACAGATCAGGCAATGCTGTGGTGCCAGGATGAGGATACCGTCCTGTCCTCACTACCTCCGGCAGAGAAGACATTTTCCTTGGTCAAAGAGGGAGTCAACTAGTGCTGCAACTCTACAGTCAACTGGAAAATAAAGGTGCAAAATGAAAGACAAGGAAATAAAAAAAATGTATTTCACTTTAGGTCAGTGGTTCCCAAAGTGGGGGGGCCCCTACTGGTAGAAATGAACTGACTTAATGACCCCTTTTGAGTTTTTTGTTTTTTTTTATAAATCAATCTTAATGTTAAATTCTCTTACGTAGTAAAATAAACTATTTTGGTGCTAAAATAATTATGATGCCGATGCCATTTTTTGGCCCCGACACCGATATCCGATACCTGGCTGTGCAGTATCGGCCAATACCGATACCATACCGATACCATCTGTTTGAAATTGATGTGCGTGTGTATATATACAGTATGAAGAACTGCATACTACTTGGATGTAAAATAATTGCCATCATGGCTTTGTCAAGCTGCTGCCTACCTTTGAGAAGCAGGAAAAAGACAAATACAAAGTGAATCCAGTAGAAAATTTTATTGCCTACCAGGAGTGGGTGACAATAGTTGAAGAAACTTTTGGCTCTCAAATTGGTATCTGTGCCCTATTTGTTGGTACTTACCGATACTGATACCACCATTTTAGTGCTGGATCTGGGCCCCGCCCGATATTGGTATCCGTACAACACTAAAAATAATTAAACTTCAATGGTGGCAGTATTTTTTTATCTTAAGGAGATCATGGTAGTTGTTTTATTGCAATTATTGATTATTAACTTACTGAGGTTGACATTTCTTTGTTGAAAAAGGTCGCGGTGGGGATTATTGGGTAAACCAAAGAGAGGCCCAACGAGAAATGTTTGGGAAACACAGCTTTATGTTATTTGGGGGACGAGGAACATGGAGCCGCTGTGTTGGCGTGTTGCTGCCAGACTGATCACAGATGCAGACTGTAAATTGTTTTGTGTTATACAGGAAATACGATTAGATTGTCATGAAAAAGTTGATTTATTTCAGCAATTCCACTCAGAAATTGCAATTAGTGTATTATATTACACACAGAGTGATATATTTCAAGTGTTAATTAAAGGTATGGGGGAGAATTTTCATGATTTTTTTGATAGACCCGTCGTCTCCACTTGAAAAAAAAAAAGCATGCACATCCTTGTACCCGGTCCTGAGACAGAACGCCTATTAAATGCCTGTGAGAGCGTGCACAAGCTAATTCCTCCTCATGCACGCTCTGTTTAAAAGTTCCTGTTTGCATTGTTTATACAGCTTACTTTCCAAAAGAAGATTTGCAATTTTTCCACTGTGTCAGACTTACCACCGGTAAGTGAAAATGACCAGATTGACAATTGGGAGGACCAATTATTTTGAAGATCCACCCAGAAAAAGAACATCTAACACTATTACTTTAAGTTTACAGTTAAACTTTGTTGTTTCTCAGATTTCATTTTTTTTCAAATTGCTATTTTTTTCATGTTATTTTGGAAATTTTAGTCTTTTAAACTCTTTTTCATGTTTTTTTCATATTATTATTTCCAAAATTTTCCATCCTTTTTAAAAAAAATGTGTTTTCCAGATCACATTCTCTTCACTTCTAGGGGCGGGCTTTATTCTGGAGTGAGGAGCGAAGAAGCATTTCTATTGGTCAATGTGTGTGTGAAGCATTTGTTTTGGGTGTGAAGACAAATGTGATTGATTCAGCCTGTAAAACTCAAACTGAAAAAGAGCAAACCCCTTCCAAAAAAAAATATAAAAAAAAAATTACGAAAATTACTATGATAAAATAAAATCAGAGAAAACAGCAAAGTTAACCTAAGTATCTTTTTGTACTAAAGAAGTTCTCTCATTTTACATGTCTGTTTAGTGTAATGTAAACAGGGACTCAGAGTGGCGGTCAATGGGATTCGGGCTCCAACCCAGGATTGTAAAAATTCAAAATTGTAAAAAAAAAAAAAAGACATACTTGTGCTGACAGATCGTCTATGATCCACTAAGGGTTATGCAACTCGTAACGTAACGAGCTGTTTCAGCTTCATTGTTGATGAAGAAACTGATGTAATTACGCAGAAAATGACCAAAAAGGAAGTTGGTGATGAACTCTGAAGTGTGTCCCGTTTTTTAACCTTAGTTCCAGTTATCCAGAAGTTAAGCAAACGTTTGATTAGGAAACAGTTGCTTAGATCCGTCCTGCTGCTGGTTCCTCACAAAGAGCTCGGAGTCAGTTAGGAATGTATGCGTTTTATTGGTCGACAGGGGGGTCGTTAGGGGTTTTGTTTTAGTAGGGGGGGGGGGCTTAGAGACAAAAGGAGAAAAGCAGATGGAGAAAATGAGAGGAGGGGGGGACATAAGGCGACTTTAACAGTAACCACAACCAGACGGGATGTGAGGGAGAGCTCCAGCGCGATGAAACCAACAGAGGAACGGAGGGAGGGGAGGGGCAAAGGGAGGAGGGGAGTGAGGAATTTTTTCCTATACTGATGAATTTTTTTCCTCCCCCCATCTTAGGAAAGAGGGGGAAGCTTTATGTAATGGTCAGGATGCAATCAGCGAGGGAAAAAATAAATAAATCACAAAGTGGCTTTTAAAACCAACCACAGCTATGCTGCCTTAAAGAACAAACGGCCCTGCCTTTCAGGACCCCCCCCCTTCCTCTCTTCCTCGTCCTCCCGCCTGACGATGGAGACGCGAACAAACGACGGGGAGGCTGATGGCAAACGGATTCATGTGATCGGCGGCGTGCTGGCTGTTAGTACGGCTCATACCCAGCCGAAGGTCAGGGCGAGTCTGTTTATCCCCCACCCCGCCCCCCGCCCCCAGCTCAGACCTCCACAGAGGGGTCCTGGAAACACTCCTTAAACATCAGGCTCATCTCATCTCACAATGTCTCATTTGCCAGCAGCACATTTCTGTCGTTCTTCCTGACCACACATTTAGCCAAGGAGTCCCCCGCATCTGGGGGAGGGAGATGGTCACTGAGCCCCACGGTTCAGAAACGACTTAAGTAAGAGTTTTACTTTGTGAAAAAGTGCTGGGAAATCAGCCGGTAATCTAAGGAGTAAAATGGGGGATGGGGTTCAGGAAAAATATTGTAAAAGTCCTTAAAACCTTAACTGGCTTGGTACTAAAGGCGTCAGAGGGCCAGGAAACCCCCCCAACCTGGGTGACTCAGGAGGAATAATATGTTTCCAATGTTTCGGCTGTTTTCCTCTATCCAACATTGTGCTCAGCTCTTCCTACTTGAGCCGTGAATCTTTGCCAGAGATCAGAGCTGCTACTTTCCTTCAACAAAAAAAGGAAATGCGATCTTCGCGTCCACTATAGACTTTGCATGCAAAGCTGAGGCCCCTGGGGTTTAAAAACCCTTCAGTAAGAACCCGGCATTACATAATCAGTGAATAAAGATAACTATTGATTTGTTTTTCATTTTATCTATTTTAATATTCAATTCAGTTTCTTTCTATAGTGCCAATTCACAACACATGTCATCTCAAGATACTTTACAGTTCACCAGATCATCCAGTCATAGTTCTATGTAAGGAAAACCAGCTGATTGCATCGATTAATTGACTCTTCAGCAATCCCTCAAACCAAGCATGCTTGTAGCGACAGTGGAGAGGAAAAACTCCCTTTTAACAGGAAGAAACCTCCAGGAGAACCAGGCTCAGTGTGAGTGGCCATCTGCTGAGGCCGACTGGGGTTCAAGGAGACAGAAGCAGAGATTTAAAAAATAGGATAAAGAAGGACCAAAGGGAAAAAAAAAACAAGTATGAAAGTTGTAACTCTTCAAGTTTGCAACCCTTCTGCAAGTTGGCAATCCAACCACGAACCCTTCCGTAGAGGATCATGAATCGGAAAGGTGAAATAACTCTATTTTCACTATAACTCTAGTTTCACTATAGCTCTGGTGAATTTCAATGGCGAAGTTCTCTGGAAATCTTCAATAATTGTTGTTGATTGCAGTTGTGTCTAGTAGTTCCCATTGATTTTGCTTGTAAAGCGTGGAGAATGGCGCTAAGCTTACCGCACCTGACATCTTCAGTCACTGCCGGAAGATGTCAGGAATGAGAATTGTTTTTATTCTTTACTGAATAATGCGTGAATAACACCAGAAACGTATTCGTTTTAGGTATAAATAATGATCCATTGGCTATTCCTTGCTGAACTGACTTTTCCTTTAAAGCGAATGTTTAGCAGCGTTCGATAGAAGAGGTGTGGTGTGAGGATGGAAGCAGACATGCAGACGGCATACGTACAGGTGTAGAAGGAGGTGGGGGGCTGAGTTCCGTTCAGCTGAACCTCCATCAGGCTGCTGATCTGGTGATCATGTCTCAACCAAAGGGCCACGCCCAAGATCAAACCTCCAACGAGCTGCAAGAGAAAACACAGGAAGCTTAGTGACAAAGCGCCAACTGATGAAATGATGAATGAATAAACAACTTCAGTTCAGACAATCCAGGGAAATGAATAATAATAATTGAACTTTATTGATCTCACACTGGAGAAATACACTCTCTGCATCTAACCCATCCCTTTATATGTAATATTAAGGAGGGATTTTTATTCCACTACCTTTGATAGCAGCAGATAACATGTTTAAAAAATGGAAATAAATATATATATAAATAAAAATACATAAATAAAATCTGATAAAAAAAAAAAATCATAAAAAAAGGAAAATAAAATGATACAATAAAATCTGACAAAACAGCAAAGTTACTTTCAACGCTTTTTTTTTAAATTAGGAAGTTTTATTTCTGTATTTTTTCTTATTTTATTTCAAACATGTTCTTCGCTGCAACAATAACAGAAAAAAAAAATCACTTCATATATTATTAATATGATATAAGTTTCATGTATTTTATAGGATATATGTGGTAAACGGATTATTGAGATAAGTAATTTAGTTATTAAATCTTTAAACTGAGGATTAAACTGTACTCAGACTCTAAAACCTTCCATTGGCTAAAAGATTTACCTCCAAACAGCAGTAATTAAGACAAAATGGAACAAAAATACAAACATATTGACGTTCGGACGCGCAGAATCAGACGAAATGAGGAAAAAGATCCTGCTGTTGAATCAAAACCTAAACCCGTTCAGAATGAATCCGCCTTAATGGCGCCTTGGAGAGCGTCTATCGTGTCCATCTTTCTAATTAAAGGAAGTCACGAATGGTATAAGCATCATGGGAATATTCCCAGCGGGTCCAGACATTAGCCTTGTTAGTGAACAGATCTGAGGACTGGATCTGGCCACAGATGCACCAGACCTAAAAAAAAAAACCTTAAAAAAATGCAAGATGGTGTTTTCTTTATAACATGGCGGACCCCAGCCTGCTGAGCATCACTGTCCTTTCAGCCTCTACCTCAGTAGCTGATTCTTTAAAAGGCAGCTGCTGCTGCTTCCTGCTCCCTCAGCAGAGCTTCAGGTCTCTGTGAAGCTTCAGGTGTCCAGCCTCATGCCTCAGCTCATACAGCATCAGTCCCGGGACTGGTTATCCTCCCGCAGCAGTGAGCTTCTTTATTTTTGATTTATGCCCAATATTAAAGCGCGGTCTGCGCTGTTATTCCACACCACAAAGCAAGAGGGACAATCACAAACTCGCTGTGGGTGTAGATACGGCCAAGCGGTGATGAAGTGGAAAAAACGCAAGGGGCAAGTTTGTGCGAAAACGGAGGAAGATGAGGGTGAAAAAAAACTGGTCTTCCCAGTCAAACAGCCGAATGGCGGCCCACTTCTCTGCAACTCCCAGCAAAATCTCCTTCAACTTCCAGCCACTGAAGTGACAACCCCCTTTTGCTTGTTTTTTACTCCACCCTTTCACTAAATTACAGGGTCTGACCAGTAGATGGCGCTTCTCTTAAGATCTTAATGTCCATAAATCATGGCAGAATATTTTAGAAGAGCTGTTTAGTCTCATTCAAAGCTGATTCTTTTATTACAGCTAAAATGTGCAACACTGTAAAAACCATGAAGAGGGACTGGGACATGCACAGTGGCAGTACGCAGGCTTTTAGCTAAAGTAGCAGCCATTCAAAATGGCCCTTCCCAGTCAAAAGCCAGCTCAATGGCAGAAAAATCCACTCCAACTTCCAGCACTGACTCCACCCTTTCACTCAATTACAGGGTCTGACCAGTAGATGGCGCTTCTCTTAAGATCTTAATGTCCATAAATCATGGCAGAATATTTTAGTACAAATATTTATGTTTAAAAAGGAAATGTATGGGAACAGCCAAGGACCATCCATTTATAATCCTTCAGTAGGTCTTCAGTAGCCTGATAATCCCAAACAACACATTTAAAAAATATAAAAAAGGCTTCTTAAGGACACTCATTACCTAAAGGAGTGTGATTTCTATCACTTAACATCCCATAGTAACTGCATTAAATCACATTCTTTGAATTTGCAATGGAAAAAATGAAAGAAGAAAAATATCCAAAATAAAATATTTCAACCATTTTATGACTGTTTTATCATCCCTAACTTTAATTGAATTTTTAGACTGTAAATCTACGATTGAGTATTAGGACCTGGCTATGGATTTTTTTCTTCTATTTTGGAAATAAGGTCATAACATTACGAGAATAAAGTCGCAACGAGAATAGTCAAAAAATTTACGAGACTATAGTCATAATATTACGAGAATAAAGTTGTAATATTATAAGAATAAAGTCGTAACATTACGAGAATTAAGTCGTAGCATTACGAGAATAAAGTCGTAACATTACGAGAATAAAGT